CCAACACCACCACGCACCCACCCCAGCACTCCCCCCCTCAGCCCCACCTCTGGGGTGAATAACTCAAAGCTGTGGAAGAGGTTACAGGCTGATGAACAGTCTGACAGGCTGTAGTAGGAACAGGAATAGGCCATTCTATTCCTCGAGCCGGCTCTACCATTCAATAGGGTCATGACTGATCCGACACTCCTCATGCCCACTTTCCTGCCCTTTTCCCATAACCCTGGTTCCTCTACTTGAACACTTGATCTAGGAAGCACAGGCTACATTGGTCATTGGAGCAGAAGTAGGCCATTCAAGTTGACTCCTCCATCCTAGATCATAGATGACCACTACCTCAAATCTATCCCTTGATGTCATTAGTAGCTGGAAATCTATCAATCTCTGTTTTGAATTTGTTTAATGAATGAGCTTCCACCTCCCTCTGGAGCATGGAATTCCAAAGATTCACCATGCTCTGTATGAAGATGTTCTTCCTTATCTCAGTCCTCAATGACTTGCCTTTTATAAGGAGATTTTATTCCCTGCTACTAACCTGCACGGCCAAGGGATCATCCCTTCTGAATCCATCCTGTCTAGGCTTTAAGAATTTGAGGATTACCTGTCATTATTCTAAACTCCAGAGAGTACAGGCCCTGTCTCCTTAATTTCTCATCACATTGCAGCTCCACTATCCCAGGAACTACTCTAGTGAACCTCCACTGCACTCCTCTAATAGCAAGTACATCTTTCTTTAGGCAAGGGGATCAGAATTGCACACAATACTACAGATCCAGCCTCACCAGTGTTCTGTAGAATTGGGACAAGACTTTCTTTTTATTCATCCATGAGAAATATGCATCATTGTCTTGGCCAGCATTTATTGCCCATCCTTAATTACCCTCAGATTGGTGGGGGTGAGCTGTCTTCTTAAAATGCTGTGGTCCTTGGGGTCCCTGACACCCACAGTGCTGTAAGGGAGGGCGGTCCAGTGATCACAAAAAGACAGTGATGTATTTCCAAGTCACAATAGTTTGGGGCTTGAAGGGGACCTGCAGGTGGTGGTTCTCCCATGTATCCACTGCCCTTGTCCTTCTAGAGGTAGAGATTGCAAGTTGGAAGGAACTGTCAAAGGAGGTTTGATGAATTACTGTGGTGCATCTTGTAGATTGTACATACTGTTGTCAATATGCATCGATAGTGAAGGGAGTGAAGGTCACGGATGGTTTGCCAATCAAGTGGACTGCTTTGTCTTAAAGGGTGTCAAACTTATGGATTGCTTTTGGAACTGCACTCATCCAGGAAGGTGGAGACTATTCCACCATACTGCTGATTTTTACCTTGAACATTGTGCATAGGCATTGGGGAGTCAGGAAGTGAGTTACACACTATAGATTTCCTAGCCTCTGACCTACTCTGGTCATCACAGTAGATACATATATATATTTATATGTGTATGTGTATGTATGTGGCTGCTCCAGTTCTTCTTCTGATCAATGGTAACCCCTGGATGTTGAAGATTTCTTTGCTCCTATTCTCAAAACCTCTTGCAATAAAGGCCATGTGCCTTCTGAAAAAATTCCTGCAACTGCATGCTATCTTTCAGTGTCTTATGAACAAGGACACATAGTTTGTTTGCAGCCACTTTTTTATAGAATAATTGGGAGAGGATGGGGCTAGATAGAAACCAGCCTCATACCATCTGAGAGTTTTGTAGACACCAACAAACTAGAAAGAATACGTCACCCTCTTCCACACCAGAAGCTAATATATCTCAGGATGCCAACCCTAAGCTGAAGCTTTGAAATGCCACTCGCCAGGACTGTCTGAAGTGGGAATCTCTTGATTGAGACATGGGAATGCTAACCATTCGGTCAAAGGCCATTCTCTTATGCATTCACGTCAAACATCTAAATGAACAGATTTCCAGGGAAACAACTTGGTGAACTCAATTGTGAGACAGTTCAGTCATATATTTAAGAGAAAGTGCTCTTAGTTAATGCTAAAGGTCCACCGCACTGTAGCCAACATGGGGAATTGGCTGGCATCAACCAATGAAAAACCGGAATCTTTTAAAGGTGTCCCAGAAGCACCCAATTTAACTACTAAGGTGCAAGTCAACTCCTGCTCCAATTTCTTATGTCATATTCCTATGCTGTGTAATGCAGGTTCATCACACTGTAATGGGAAAAAGAACAGCAGGTGTAATGAACGTTCCAGCTGGAATAAGGATCAAACCCACCAAAATGGCAATTGTTATGAGGGTCTATGCCATCGCAAAGAGGGTAATGGTGTCAGATTTCTCATCCAATATCCAGTACTGGATACGCAGAAATTTCCCCAAGTTGAAAATTGGGAACATCAAAGCCATTGTTTTCAGTTCCCATTCCAATCTCCATTCGTTAAATACCGAACCCATCCTACCCCCAGCAACAAACTGAGATTAAGCCAGTTTGCTTGCAACCTTGGGATGACATCTGACCCTGAAATGAGCTTCTGACCTTGTATTGTGCTAACTCGAAGACCACTTACATATCTGCACCTCAGTCATGTCACACACTTACTGCTGAAAAACTCATTTCAGCCTCGGTTATCCCTAGACTCAATTATTCCAATGCACTCCTGGCTGGTATCCCACAGTTACCAAAAGTTCTGCTGCCTGTGTTTTCCTTGGTACCAAGTCCTCTTTTCCCTATCACTCCTGGCTTCGCTGCCCTACATTGGTTTCCGGTCAACCGATGTCTTTTTTAAAAAAATTCTCCGCCTTGTTTCCAGATCCCTTCACAACTCCCTCCTTCCTATTTCTGTATAACCTCCAGTCCCTCCTCTAAGTTTGACCTCTTAAGGATCGTCACCATTGTGCCTTCAGTTACCTGGTCAGTTAAGGTTAACTACGGAATTGCCTCCATGCATCTTTCACCACTCTACCTTGCCTTTCTTCTTTAAGGCATTGCTTGAAACGTCCTTCCTCGGCCAAACTTTCAGACAAAATGCCTTGAAATGTTTTACTATATTATGAGCAATACATAAATATAAGGGGTTGCTGTTTTTGGATGAATGTTATTCTGACATGTCAAATGCTGAGCTATTAGTATTAATTAGATAAAATGTGATAAAATTGGCAACAATTCTCTTGGAGGGATGAACTAAAGCAGTGGCTGGATAATTTCTGGAACAGGACAACAATGTTCTATCAGGTAATTATCGTGCTCACTTGAGTTACTTGTTGTGGACAAATTAGCTGCAATGCATCTGACACCACGGCTACGATAACTGTTTTGAAAGGTTTTCCTATTTGGCTGGAGAGTACTTTGGGATGTTGAAGTTGTGAAAGGAGGCTTATAAAAGTGAGTCTTTTTCTTTCTTCAGTGATTATATACAATTGGATGGAGTAACATGCTGACATACAGTACTGGGAGGGGAGATTGCCTTGGACTGCCATATACATTAGGGTAATGTGATGTGGTACTGTTACTGGCCTAGTAATCCAGAAACCCAGGGTACTGTTCTGGGGATATGGGTTCAATTCCCACAATGGCAGATGGTAACATTTGAATTGTAATGGAGTGGTAATGTCCTCACTTCTGGATTTGAGTACCTAGTATCACAAAGGTGTATAATAATGTGTCCGAACTGGTTGGGTTCATAAATAAAGTTGCAACCATATGCAGTGTTGAGCAAAACTGTATTATTTAGACAAAAATGTGAGGATATGTACTTTTCAGGAAGAACACAGGAGCTGAATATTATTTACATGGAGAAAAACAGCAGAAAACTGCAGGACAGTGGAATTTGGGAGTTCACAAAAAGCTGGCATTCAAGTTCAGCAGGGAAGGGAAATGAAAAGTTGGTCTCCTCCTGTTCCTAACTTCTTTGTTTATTTCAAAGGGAAAGGAGTATAAAAGAAAGGGATGTATTGCTAAAGTTGTACAAGGCACTGAACAGAGCACAGCTGGAATACTGTGAACAGTTTTGGGCCCCTTGACTGAAGAAGGATATGCTGGTATTGGATGCAGGCCAGAGAAGACTCACTAGGCTGATCCTTGGTATGAGCAGACAGTCTCATGAAGAGAGGTTGAGTAAGATGGGCCTGTACTCGTTGGAATTTAGAAGAATGAGACATGACTTTATTGAAACATTCAAGATTCTTAGGGGACTTGACAGGGCAGATATGGCGAGATTGTTTCCCAAATGGGAGAGACTAGGACCAGACAGTGTAATCTCAGAATATGTGGTCACCTATTTAACACAGAGAAAAGGCAGAATTTCTTCCCCAAAGGTTTGTGATTCAGTGGGGTGCATTAAATATGTTCAAGGCAAGATTGATAGATTTTGAGCAGTAGGGGAATGAAGGGTTATGGGAAAAGGCAGGAGAGGGGGGATGAGGATTATCAGATCAGCCATGATCTCAGTGAATGGCAGTGCTGACTAAATGGGCTGAATGGCCTACTTCTGCTCCTATGTCTTAAGGTACAATATAGATTATTGTTGCATCATTTGACTTTTACAGGATAGTAATGTAAATGCTCAACTGAAGCATTCAAAGGGGCAATGGATGATTGCTTGGATAGGAATAGTGCGGAAGAGTACCAGGAAAAGGCGGCAGATTTGCACTAGGTCATGCTGCCCCTTGAAAGAGCTGGTGCAGACACGATGGGTCGAATGGTCTCCTTCGCCCTAACAAATCTGTCATTCTGTGACATGAGGTGGGTGAGGGGAATGATGCCTGTTTTTGGAACAACACTGAGGAAGAATTCTCAGCTGTCAGGCAAGAAACGATATCTGGGAATTTGCAATCCTGCCCTAGTTAACTTCCAGTTTTGTTTGAACAGGATTCATTCATTGCATTTTCCCTTCGACTCTCAGAATAAAATAAAAGGAGGGGGGGAGGGGGGCATCGTTTTCCAATATAGGCGCCCACTTCTGGAAAGAAAGAGCCGAGGGGACAGGAATTGCATAACCTAATTAGTTCTGGTGCTTCCTGTACGTCTGCACGGTGTTGAGGTGGGCAGGAGGCATCAGCTGCTCAGTGTGTGTGTGTGTGTGTGTTTGTGTGTGGATGTGTTTGTGCCTGTGAGCGTGTGGATGTGTGAGTGCGAGTTTGGATGCAAATGTGTTCTCCCAGTGTGGAGCAGCCAGATTGCAGGTGCAGTCTGCCACAAGAAAGATTCATCTCCAGCTAGAGCCCAGGGCTGATCCTCATCTGGCATTTCGGGGCCGGTGGATGGAATCGCCGTGTTAGCCAGCAGTTTTAAAGCTCTTGTGCTGCAACAGGTAAAGCATACCGGAGAGTGAGAGCAAGAGCTGCCTCGCTCCCTCTTAAATTCTCTCTTTTGTTTGTCTTTGTCTCTCTGCCTGATCCCTCTCTCTCTCCATGTTTGTCTCTGTCAGTTCATAGCAGCGCCAGTCAAAACGTGGAAGTTTTAATTTTGATATCTGTCTGTAAAATAAGACAGCGTGAAAGGTATGCAGCTCTGAACTATATTTATTTTGATTTAAATCTATGCTTGTGGTTGAAATGATTTTTTAAAAATATTGCTTTCTATAGAAAGAGGTGGACAAGTCTTTCTGGATGGAGGTCTGAGATTTCTGTTCCTTTGTTTCTCATTTATTCCGGTCTATAATTCAGACTCTTCCCACTCACTGTTCAGTCTTGTAATGGCTTTTCAATTCTGTTTGAAAGGTTTCAGAAATTTCCAACATTTGCAGCTGATTTTTATTTTTACAATTGTTTAATGTCCTGAGGCTTTTTTGTCACTCTTGCCTTTTTTCATCATTCTTTATCTAAAGTTTCCGCCTTCGCTCCGGTCCCCAAAATCATTTTCTCTCCCAATATAACTCTTGTCCCTCCAAACTCTTTTTCACCCATTTATTCTCATGCCTCCCCTTGCCTCTCCCTGTCTTACTTCACATTCTTTCCTCTGTATCTCTGGGATGCATTGGCCTTCCACAGAACTGTGTCGTAAGACTCAGCAGAATCAAACCAGGGTTAAATGGATTAGATTATAGGGAAAGGTCACACTGACTGGACTTGTATTCCCTTAAGGACAGGAGATTGAACATTGATCTAATCAAGATGCTGAAGATGAATGTAGGAGCTGACAGGGTGGATAGAGAGAAATTGTTTCCTCTGCTTCTGGAAGAGACCAGAACAAGGGAAAGTAACACTTAAAATTGGGATAGGTGGTTTTGGGGTGATGTATTTAATCACACAATGAGATATCTAGAACTTGCTCCTTGCCAATAAATTGCGAGGCTGGGTCTATGGAAAATTCCAAAAGTGAGTGTAGATAGATTTTTATTTGGCACAGCTATTGAGGGATATGGAACCAAATTCAAAAATGCACAGGTTAAGTGAATTAGCCATGCTAAATTGCCCACAGTGTCCAGGTTAGGTAGATTAGCCATGGCAAACACAGGGTTATAGGATAGGGTAGGGGATGGGTTTGGGTGGATGCTCCTCAGAGTGTTGGTGTGGACATATGGTCTGAATAGCCTGCTTCCACATTGTAGGGATTCTATGATCTATGATCTATAAAGACAGGTTGATGGAGTTAGATCAGGCATGATCAAATGGAATTTTGAAAATATTCAGTTCTAGGGTGTGGGTGTCACGGCTGGGCTAGCTTTTATTCCCCATCCTTGATAACGCAGAGGACAGTTAGGAATCAACGATATTGATGTGTGCCTGGAGCCACATGCAGACCAGACCAAGGTTCCTTCCCTAGTGGTGTACAGCTTTCTTTTTGCATGACAATCAACAGTGGTTAAATGATCGCAATGAAGCTAAGATTTTTATTCCAGATTTTTGTTGAATTCAGATTTCACCAATTGCCATGGTGTGGGCTCAAACCCAAGTATCCAAAGCACTAGCCAGGTGCTGCCCACTGATGGCTGAATGGCCTCTTCTAGTATCTATGTAAGTTAAAGTTCAGGGTTTGTTAAAGATGATTTTCACCAAACTCCTGCACCTCTTCATTCATGTGCCTTTGCTGGCAAATGAAGGTGTTGGAATATCTAAACAAGATGTGTTTGTTTGGAAGGAATTAACTAACAAAGCCTAGCCTTAGCATTCACTGCATCCCAGCAACAGTTAAATCTGTCGACAGATTTGTGTTTGTACATTCTGTGCTGCACTCAGGTGCATGCCTCATCTCTCCTTCCTCTGTATTCAGCTCCACATGACACCTTTTCACAAATGATCTATTACATTTCTTCTTTCCAATGGCCTCTTGTTGATTTTGATTGCACTAATCTGCTCCTTCATTATTTCCATTTTAATTATGTCAATTGACCCCACCAGCTGTTTTTGCTTTGCTTCCTACTTCACCTCCACGTCTTTCTTTCTCTCCAGTTCTTTCTGATTGTCTCAGGGAACATTGTGGACTGAGGCCAGTATTGTGAATGATATTGAAAAGCAGGTATGTGATTTACTAAATTCAAAAAAGTACTCTTCAAAATTCAGGTTTGTAAATATATATAAAACATAGTGTCTGTTTTTGTATATGTGGGTTTTATTGATACTGACGTTTGACATAAGTATAATTGTCTGTCTGTATCTGTAACTCGATACATCCATCTAAGTGTGTCTGTCTCTGGCTGTCAAGTCTGACTCATTCACAGTTGCTCACACTCATTTTGTTTGAACATTTTGGCAATGAGAATCCTTCTGTTTGATAATTTTGGAAGAAACAGAAAACAGAAAATTGTATCTTATACTGGCACCAACTCACAGTAAAGATATGACAACCAAAATCTTTCCTCTTAGCAATATTTCCAGCAATCATCTGCCTCAATCTCATGATGTCTTGTCTATTTAACCCTTGCTTTCTGTGTGCATGCACAGTACAAATCTTTTAAACTTGATAGAGGTTCATGTCTCATACAGAGAGCTGAATGCACCATACACATCCTGGACAAGAATTTTTTGCTTTTGGGAAACATATTCTTTCAGGGAGTGAGAAGGATGGGGGTTCAAGTCGCAACTTTATCACAGAACCTCAGGTGGCACTTGCAGTCCAATAGGATAAAATGCTTCTGTCTCACATGAACATCAAACATGCCATAGTGCAACTTGAAAGAAGACCAGAGAAGTTGTCCCTGCCTAACATTTATTCCTTGCAAAACAATATTCAGCATGTGCACAAATTGCTGATTGTGCGTAAGTGGGTGTGACATATCCCTGCAGTGACAGAAATGAACACTGTAAAGCATGAGGTTGTTAAAATTATGGTGCTCAATTTCCATCATTTTGTTTTGCCAATATGCCTGGTCGACATTCTGTAGACCTCAGGGTGAATAGCGGCTCGTCTATCACTACTACCATTTGTCCTGTGCTGTTATCTGTACACAACATGCCTCATGTTCCCCAGCATGTGATGTTATGTCAGACCTACACAATCCTACAACAGTGCTTGATGCACATATAGAGTTAACCTCTAACCGAAGTGTGCTGTGTGTATCTGCTTGTCCACGGCACGTAAGGTTCTTTGCTAATCTGCCAATCAAAGTCTTTGTCTGCAGGATGCTACCATATTGATATGTATATAGTCCCCCTCTGAATATCAGAATATGTGTCAATTCAGGAAAACAGTCAAAACTGCACAACTGCTTCAAAATAAATCAGTCAAGTTATAAAACTTAAATTATGGCCAGGTGGTCATTCTGTCTAACATATTGCATTTCTTTTACATTGGGTAATAGGACAGAACTGTCAAGATTTGTTGATATGATATGTTGACCAGGAGTCGTGTCACCCTTTCATGTTCTGAATAATCTACAGTCAACTGAAGGCAGTTCAACAATCTTGAACATTTTTAGCATTAGGTTTATAACAATATGCAAACCATCAAAACCTATCTCTCTTCCTCAAGGAAAAGTCAGACTTGTTTTTTTACAGTGGAATCCCACCAGTTTGCCATGATATATCTGGAAGCTCCTAATTTCCGAAATGACTAGAATGCTGTCTGTGTAGAGATGTCTCCTTCTCATCCTAACCCAAACATCAAACTCCTATGTTTCTCACACCCTTTAGGAGTAGTGTCAAATTCCATCTCTTGAACCTGTCCTTTGGTCTTTCTTCCAATACAAGTCCTAAGACCTTAAGACATAGGAGCAGCAATTAGGTCTTTTAACCCATCGAGTCTGCTCCGCCATTCAAGGCTGTTAAGTTTTCCAACCTCATTCTCCTGCTTTCTCCCCGTAACCCTTGATCCCCTTGACAATCAAGAACCTATCTATCTCTGCCTTAAATATACTCAATGACCTGGTCTCCACAACCTTCTGTGGCAATGAATTCCATAGATTCACCCCTCTCTGGCTGAAGAGCTTTCTTCTCATCTCCATTCTAAAGCGTCTTCCCTTTACTCTAAGCCTGTGCCCTCGGGTCCAATCTCTCCTGCAAATGGAAATCTCCTTCCCAGTTATCTGTCTGTGAAGCTTCATGGGCTTATTTTCGTAAAAGGGGGAATTGTATAGAATGGCATTGCGTTTACAGCAGAGGAACAGGCCATTCAGCCCAACTTGTTTACATTGCTGTTTACACTCCACACAAGCATCCTTTCCCCACTATTTGTCTCATCCATTTGTCCAGTGAGTTTTTACTGCTTGGATTTGGAGCCTGAGTTTGGTCATCTTCTTAATTAATTCACATGTTCACAAGCGTGAAAACCTCAGAACATAGAACAGTACAGCCCAGGAACAATTCTTCCGGTTCCTGCCTAATACTGTTGTAATTAGCCTCCCCTTAGTTTAGCACTTTCACCCAAGGACCAATCTTACCCTTATCCATGACTATCCTAAAACTTACGGAATTATGGTCACTGATCCCAAAATGCTCACTCACTGAAATTTCAATCACCTGGCCAGGCTCATTGCTCAATACAAGGTCTAATACAGACCCTCCCCTAGTCAGACTTTCTACATATTGTTTCAAGAACTCTCCCTGGATGCACCTATCAAATTCTGTGCCATCTAAGTCCCTGATACTAAAGGAACCTCAGTGAATACTGGGGAAATTAAAATCCCCATACAACAACCCTGCTGTTTTACATTTTTCCATGATCTGTTTACATATCTGTTCCTCTATCTCCCCACTGATTATTGGGAGGCTTATAGCATAACCCCATCATAGTGGTTGCACCTTCCTTATTCCTGAGCTCTACACATAATGTCTTGCTGGATGAGCCCCCCAGGATGTCCTACCTTAGTCATCAGTACTGCAACTCCCCCACCCCTTTTACATCCTTCTCTATCATGTCTGAAACATCTAAACCCTGGAACGTTGATCTGCCAGTCCTACCCCCTCAAACAAGTTTCTGTAATGGCTACCACATTGTGATCCCATGTACAAATCCAGGCTCTAAATCCGTTATACTCTGCATTAAAATAAATACACTTCAGTCCACCAGTCCTGCTGTGATCATTACCTGGCCCTGCCTGTTCTTCCGACTAGATTTCCTTGATTTAGCTATTCTGTTCTCTACAAACACTCCACATGCTGACCAACTGCTCTGGTTCCCAACCCCCTGCCACAATAGTTTAAATCCTCCTGAGTGATACCAGCAAATTTCCTGCCAGGATATTGGTGTCCTTTCCAGTTTGGGTACAACATGTGCTTCTTGTATAGGTCCCACCTGCCTGGAAAAGATCCCAGTGATTCTTGAAGCTCTCGTTCCTACACCATCTCTTTAGCCACACATTCAACTGTATTATCTTCCTATTCCTGACCTCACAGGCATGTGGCATGGAGTAATTCTAAGATTACAATCTTAGAGGTCCTGCTTTTCAACTTCCTAGCTAATTCACTGAACTCTCTTTGCAGGACCTCATCTCTCTTCCTCCCTATGACATGAATATCAAAATGGACCACAACATTTGGCTGTTCACCCTCCCCTTTTAAATATCCTGTGCTCACTTTGAGACATGATGTGGAGGTGCTGGTGTTGGACTGGGGTGGACAAGATCAGAAATTACACAGCATCAGGTTATAGTCCAACAGATTTGTTTGAAGGTTAAAATAAACCTATAAACTGGTATCGTGTTATTTCTGACCTTGGTCACTTTGAGAAATCCTTGACTCTGGCACCAGGGAGGCAACTCAGCATTCTGGAATCTCGCTAGTGGCCACAGAAACACCTATCTGTGCCCCTTACTATTGAGCGCCCTATTACTACTGTTCACCTACACTTCAACCGTCCCTGCTATACGACAGAACCAACCATGGTGCTGCTGATCTGGTTGCTGCTACTGCTTTCCCCTAGAGAGGCCATTCCCCCCTAGTAATATCCAAAACAGTATTCCTGTTTGAGGGGGGGAATGGCCACAGGATCTCCTGCACTGCCTGCCCACGCTTACCCATCTTCCTGGTGGCCACCCAACTCTTCTCTGTCTGTGTAGCCCTTCCTGATGGTGTGACCAGCTCACTAAACATGCTATCTATGACATTCTCAGCCTCATGGATGCTCCATAGTGAGTCCATTGGCAGCTCCAGGCATTCCATGCGCAAATCAGGAGCTGCAGCTGAACACACTTCCTGTATACAGAGTCACCATGGAGACTGGAAGTGTCCCTGATTTCCCACATATCGCAGAAGGAGCATTCCACCAGGCCAAGTTCTCCTGCCATTGTGCACCTTAATGACTAAATAAACTTTACTAACCACAGAAATATAATCTACTGTACAGCCTTACCGTCGACTACTGAACTCAGATTTTTCACTCTTACTCTCTATTCCTACCAAACCACATCGAAAAAGGAAGTAGGTTATACTTTAACGTCCTCCTGACACTACTCACTCACCTGTAGACCTGGGTCTTGAGAAGCCAAGCCGACATCTCTTTTTGAGTGTAAAGTCACCCCTGGAGATCCACCTCTGAATTCAGTTCCACCGCCGACGTGCCCCCAATTCAGACTGACCCTACTCCCGCCCTGACTGACCCCTGCTCCCGCCCTGACTGACCCTGCTCCCGCCCTGACTGACCCCAGTCCCACCCTGACTGACCCCTGCTCCCGCCCTGACTGACCCCAGTCCCATCCTGACTGACCCCTGCTCCTGCCCTGACTGACCCCAGTCCCATCCTGACTGACCCCAGTCCTGCCCTGACTGACCCCGTTCCTCAGGTATTTATTCGGTATCTCTTGCCGCTGGTCAGCCCTCGGTTTGCTGTGCTGTGCTTCTGCACTTTTAACCCAGCCAAGTGAATATATCTTTTCCTTCTTTTCCTTCCTCCCTCACATATCCTTCTCCTTTCCCATCAAATGTATCTATATAAATGTATATGATCACGTTTCCTACTGCCACGTTATTTTAAGCTGTTGATGGAGACAGGCAGCAGTAATTTAAAGTCACTTCTTGTGTATTAACTATGGCGTAGAGAGATCTATCTCCAGCTCAGCAAAAAACTGAAGCCCAGAGTAATAA